ATGTGCAGAAAAGTAAGTAAGGTAAGGATTAGAAATGTTTGAAAGGAATAGAAAAAAATAAATTGCAAATAGATAACATTAATAGTCTTATGCCTAATAAATAGAATAGAAAGAATAGATAGAATATATATAGAAATAGATAATCAATAGTAATATTTTCGTAACTTAAAACTTAAACTTCTTTAATAGATATAAGTTGTAACTTTGTAATGTAATACTCTGAACCCACCAAAAGAGAACAAAAGCGGTATAATGATTGTGTGCAGAAGTATATAACAGATCTCTATATATATCCCAGATCTATTTTATTTGACTTCATCGCGAATAAATACCACTAAATACCTTAATTTTACATTTATGTACGATATACCTTGGCATATTATTGATCAAGATCGGATATGAAACTTGAGCTTACATTTGAGTGTGGTTTCAATTTGCGAATGGAATGAAATACGCATTTAAGTATTATATGCAAATATCCGCTGATATCGCTGATGATGATTACTTAATATTAATTGACGACAACATTTGATCGACTAGAAGTATCCAACTTATGTTAGATTCTACACAAACATAATAACTAATCCCAAAATGGAAATATGGGCTCAACAAGAGGCTAACAAAGTCCTCAATTGCCTAATTGTGCTAATCTATCTATACACACATATTGAGTTTGTATAATATACCAATGCCACTGCCATTGGGGAGTTGAACGTCATCTTTAGCCATTAGGTGAATGACAATGCAGTGGGAGAAGATTGTGCCCATTAGCCCAGTATGTTGTAGGCCTGTTGCAAAACCAAAACAATAAGACAGCAAAAAAGCGTGAAAACAAAGGCGTGAATCCGTTGAACTCCTTATGGCTAAGCAACAACAAAAGCAGCGAGCTCGTTGTGGATAATAAAAGTAATCGAAATGCGGCCAAGTTGAAAAGACAGGCATGTGCTTGGCTAATATGCGAGTGGTGCAAACCACAGCAAACCCAACCGAACCATCGAACTGCAATTGAAATCCAGTTGCAGTCCCCTGGGAACTGGGCACAAAGTGAGCAAAAACAATTGTGAAAAGGCCCAAAACTGGCAGATGTCGGCGCGATGACATCCTAATTAGTTGGCCAACAAATGCAAATATGCTTTTAGTCTAATGACAGTCACTAATGGCAACGACCAAACAAATGCAGCGAAATTGGCGACAAGTGGCAAGTAGCGAGTGGCGAGTAGCGAGTAACGTGTGACGAGAGCACAAGCAACGAGTGACGAATGAAGCGAGAATGAGCAGAATGAGCAGAGTCAATTAACAACGACTGGCGAGCAAAGAGCAAAGAGCAAAGAGTGCGAGTGCAACGCCCATCGGCGGATCAAAGGATCAATCAAAAATGAACATATTGAAAATAAATTTAATTCGAGTTTGCATTCGCTTGCGAATGTCGGCAGCAATGAAATCCGCCTCAAGTGTCCCGAATGCGATTAAACTTTTTAAATGCATTTCGAGTGGATGCCAAACATCAAACAACACAACAGCAACAGCAACAGAACAAGAGCAGCAGCAGCAGCAGCAGCAGCAGCAGCAACAGCAACAGCAACAGCAATAGCAACAACGAAAAAGGCAGCGAGTAGCGAAAAGGACGAGTCAAAAGGCTTTTAGACCACAGTCCTTTGGCGTACCTATGAAGTGGGCGCTGTTTTCTCAATCTGCATGCACAAATGTATGTGTGGCATGTGAGTATGTATGGTTGTGTGTATTATAATAATAGTCACACACTGGCAGACGAGGAGGGAGGGGGAGGCGAGGCGAGGCGAGCAAGTGGCCTTTGTGATTTATGCGACGTCTCTTTGAGGCTGAAGTGCAGATTACATTATAAATATGAAATAATACGAGTCGGCGCACAGGTCCTTGAGGACCTGTGGAACGGAAATTGAAATTCGTGATCACAATGCTGCCAGGGTGGCTAGAGAAAGAGATTAGGAGAGAGAAAGGCGAGAGGAATCGGCTATGTATGTGTAGTGTGTGTGTAGTCTGTGTGTAGTCTGTGTGTGTGTGTGTGTGTGTGTGTGTGTGTGAGCTGCAGTTTAATGCCCTAATTGGGCAACTAACAGCAAAGAAACTTCGAACAATAAACTCAAAACTTAAAGAATACGAAAAAAATACAATCGAATTAGGAAATCAATATGAAAGCTAGATGAAGTAAGACGGAGAAAATGAGTCAAATTTGCAAAATAGTTGGCAATTCGATAGGGATATAGTCAGTAGGGATTAAAGAGTTCGGAATTCACTCGAACTTTTACGCATTTCATTTTTTAAACAAAAATAATTCGAATAGAAAAATCTTAAAATTGTTGTTTGCAATTATCAAAATAACAACATCTAATTAATTACTAATAAAAGACCAAGTTTGCAAGAAGAGTATATAGTATCAACTAATAATGATACAACTCTCACATTGCATAATGATATATATATCTCCTAATATTAAAATGCTGTACAAAAACAAACGAAACTCTTTTGTAGCAAACATGTTGCAAGCTGACTGTTGCACTTAACACTTCAATTTATTCGCAAGCTGCAAATCACAATGCATAAATGCACTTGGCCAAAGAAGCCGCTTGAAGTTCTATCTTCCTAATGGAACTGATGGATGGAAAAAGATGAAAGCCTCTTCGTTGCTAGTCAGCCGTATATATGTGCATATATATGTATATGTATATACTTGTATGTATATGTATATACTTGTATGTATATGTTTATGTATATGTATCTATATAAATATTGCATGCTCAATTACAAAATTGAATGGCAGCAATGCAAACATGTGCAAAAAACATGTAATTAATGTAACCGCATTGGAAAAAAAAAGGAGAGAAAAAAGAACAAAAACAAGTAAAAATATGAAATAAAATTGCATTTGTGCAACGTTGTTGAGTGTGATAAATGCAATTAACACGATTGGAAATGCAAGCGTTTAACTTTCCCACAAATGGAGGCTGGCGCTGCCAATGAGAGCGGGAGTTAGAGTGAGACGGAATGGCAGACGGAAGACGAGAGAGGCAAGTGGGGAAGAGGGAAACGGAGAGACGTGTCAAAGTGTGCTAATTATACGCTGCTTTGGGCTCCAAAAACGCCAAGCGACAACTGCAGGCGTCTATGTGTGTGTGTGTGTGTGTGTGCGAGTGTGTGTGTGTGTGAGCAACAGAAGCCTAATTGCAAGCCAAGCAGTTAATTGAAATGTGGCTTATTGATTATGCAATTGTTATGCAATGCGACTAATTATTCACAACTGCTGCAGCACAGCCTGAAACAGAGATGGAGATGAAGACAGGCAGCTGCTGATCGATTTCAATGAGGGGAGGGGCAGGTGTTTAACTGACTTGACACAACTTGCAGCAACAATGCGTGCAACAGGGCAACGGCAATTTAACAGCCAAGTCGATGAATCAATGAGCCAAATGCCTCACTGAAATACACAGAGAGAAGTTGTGAAGAGAGTGCGGCATGCAACATATCAAATATCTATGTACAACATGCATGCATGTAAAAATAGAATTAAAAAATTACACATTTTCAAATTTAATTTAAATGCTCTCAATTATGATGATTTACGGCATTGGCTACTCAACTCATAACACATTTCGCTTACAAAATGGTTAATCATTCCCAAATTCAGTTAACAAAAAATAAGCTAAATTTGTAAAAATATCCCAAGTCTATGAATCTGTTTAATAACCTTTTTTAATACTTTTTGAGGGTGTTTAAAGCATTATATTGTATTTTATATCCCAAAGCTTGCCTCACAATACTGATGACGGTTAATTGTTGGACATTTGATCAGGTTTGTGCCACACACACAAATTGCATGTGGCATGTTTCGCAGTTACAAAAAAAATAGGAAAAGGCAACAACAAAAGCTTGCAATTCGATAGATGGCAGTTATCGAATTATCGATCAGCAATAATTGCATGTCGCTTAATATTATAAACAAAAACAAAAATGCAAAAAAAATGTTGATGGAATCACGTAAATCGCAGGCATATACACACAGACACACATACACACATGCACACACACACACTCAAACACACATGTACATGGAGGCCGTCGCTGTGCGGCCCGCCAAATTGGCGGCGCAGAATAAACTGAAACTGAGCACGCAGTGCGCTCAGCAAAGGCCGCAATCGTCCGCATAATTAACACTCACACAGTCACGCAGCTCACACGTACGCTATACACAGTGTCGGTGAGCCTTCCAGTGTAGAGCGCAACAGCAAGATACGTTGGGCGTGAGTGTGTGCAGGATAGCAGGCAGTGAACTGCTCACATTACCCCTGCAATTGGAAGGGCAATGTAGCTGTGCGTATGTAAGAGCGAGATCGCATACGCTTTGACATAGCGCCATCTCGCTGGCACGCAAAGATGGCGTAGCAAACGACAGAGCAGCAGCAGCAGCAGCAGAGACGGCTTGTCGCAGTCGCCGCAGCCAGCGACAGCATCAGTCGACAGTTGGCGTGCGAAGCAGCTAAAGCTACCCCGGTGACGGCAGAAAGCAAGCAGAACGCAAGGCGTGCACGAAATAGACCAGCAAACGTGAAACGTGTGCGTTGGCGTTGGCGTTAGCGACGCAGCTAACGCCGGCAGCGACGTTGACGTTGACGTTAACGTGACGCTTTTGCTCGCGTGCAGCGCGCGCTTTAGTTTCAGTTCGTTTTCGTACGTTGTCCACGCCGAACGCAAGCGGTCAGCACCCACACACACAATACATCAAGAATTAGACACACAGACGAACACACACACACACACTCGCGCGAAAATACATATATATATATATATATAAATACATATATATACATGTGTACACTGAGCTTAAGCTCTGCTGACGCTCCTCGTGTTGTGCTTTAAAGGAAGACAGTTCATCACACACATTTCGAATTCGAATCGAGTTGGGACTACGCTCAGTTTCTTACTGCTTACTGTTTATTGCTTATTGCTTATTGTTGTCCATGTGCGAGTGACTAAATCAGTGTCACTGTGTGTGTGTGTCTGTGTGCTGCTCTCCTTCTTCTTCATTTTATTTTTTTATCGTGTGAGCTATGAGAACCGTTAGCTTTGAAAAAGTGCAATAAACATCGTTAAACTGATCGAACTTTCTGCGAAAGCTTCAGCAAACGTTCCCGACGGCAAAATGCAGGCGACCAAAATGCGAACACCGTTTGCCATACAGGAGATCCTCGGCCTCGGAGTCGGCGTCGGAGTCGGTGCCTATCAACAGCAACAACAGCAGCAACAACAACAACAACAGCAGCAACAACAACAACAACAACAGCAGCAACAACAACAACAACAGCAGCAGCAATCATCACAGGCTGCTTCAGCTGCCACGCCCAGCAGCACAGAGGCGCCCCTCTCGCCGGCAGCGACGCCGCCCCCGCGCAATGCGAACACGCCGCAACAGTCGGCGGTGAGCAGCGCCCAACAGTTGCAGCTGCAACTGCAACTGCAGGAGCATCATCAACAGCAGCAGCAACAGCAGCAACCGTCGTCGTCATCATCGATTCGCGATTCGCGCTCAATTTCACCGGATGTCACACGTTTGTCGGCCGCTGCTGCCGCCGCTGCCGCTGCCGCTGCCGCCGCCGCCCACTGCCAGCTGCCCGTTTTCAATCCGGCAAATTTCTATGCCGCCGCCGGCTATGCGGCTGCCGCCGATCCAGCGAACGCTGCCGCCGCCCATCATCATCACATGACGACGCTGGCAGCGGCCGCCTATCTGCGGGGCTTTCTGCCTCCCGGCTTCAGTACGCCGCACGAGTTTCGCGGCCATTTCCAGCAGCATTTCGGCGCACAGTTTGCAGGTGAGTTCAAGTCTCTCAGTTAAGTCCAAGTTGCACTTGCCTCTGGCTAATTAAGCAAAATATTAAAATATTAGGAAGACCTAAAGAGAGAGAGAGAGAGGGAAAGAGTGATCGAGTGAGCGAGCAAGCGAATAATCCATTAGGTATACTTTGTAGGCATATTAATATTCCATAAGTAAAGTAATCACATGACAAACTGCATTACTTTGTAATGCACAAAACATGCGTCTCCAAAAGCATTTCAGGCTCGTCTACCTTGAGCGAGGGATCGTATACGGAATACGATGCGACGATATAGTTTGTAATGTAGTTGTATATAAAAATAGAGAGGTTTATAATTATGCACTTTTACGACTTATTCTTGAATTTATAACATATATAAAATACATTTTATTTAGAAACAAGAAAACCAGGTAATGAATTACATTGTGTGCATACAGAATGCATTCGGTATTGATGAGGCATCATTCAGTAGTTCGCTGCTGGGGTGTTGACAACATCTTACTTTATTTATTTATTAATTTTATTTTTTTTCGGTTAAGCAAGGCTTTCGTTAGTGTTAAATATAGAATCGCTAGAAATCGCTTTGAATGAATTGAAATGATGGCAACACGACTGCAGCAGGCAGAAGCACAGCACAGCACACACACAGCGAATGCAACCAACTGGCAACTGGCAACTGGCAACTTGCAGCCAGAGGGCCAGAAGGCCACAAGCGCAACTAATAAGCCAGAGCTGAAGCTAAAGCCGAAGCCGAAGCTGAAGCTCCTCACTCGAAAAGGGGTTGCCAGGGGCAGACACGTTGGCAACGCAGGCTGTGTTTTGTTTGTTCGCCTCGCTGGGCAGGCAAAATTAAAACAATAAAACGACAAATTAAACACAAGTCGTGGAGGTGGTTGTTGTTTAGGTTAGGGCCGTGGGGAGGGAGGCTGTGGTTAGCTAGGGTACGAACATCAACATCAACGTCAACAGCAGCAGCTTATTAATAACACATACACACTCACACACACTGAGAGAGAGAGAGAGAGAGAGAGAGAGCGAGAGGAACGTTAAGTGGCTCATCAGGAGAAGTGTGAAATTTCACACACACTTCAATCGATGAATTCGATGTGTGTGTGTAACGCTAATTAAGCAAATAACTGTTCACAGCTCATATAATTATGCAATCGAAACTGCAATTCCAATTCCAATTCCAATTTGAAGGCAATTCGAAATTCTCACCCAGTTAGCCACTTGATATAAGTCTTGATGCAGCAGCTAGTTGCAACATTTGCTATAGTTGCCATGGCAAGGAAGAGAAATAGTTTTGTTTTTTTCTAGCAGAACAGATTCTCTTGTTATAAGACGAATTTTTGTTTCTTTTAAGTACTGTTGGACTTTAGATCATTGAACGTTCTTATTATATTTCGAAGGAAAAACAATTGTAAAAAAAAGTCTTGAGATATTCATGACTTGTTGGCGCTGATTGAACTGATATCAAATTGCTGTGATCACTCTAAAAGAAGAACATTCAAAAATTGAAATTATTAGAATTAGAATTAGAAATTGTCATTCTTAACTTTGTGTGACTTCAATTTTGTTTTCTTTTCACAACTTTTGTTTGGAAAGTCTACTTTGTCTACTGCCCGGATGTCTAAAATTAAATATTATTACAAAAATTAAATACCAAAGCATATTTGAATTACAATTTGTATATTTAAGAAATTAGCACAATAACATGGCAAATCTCTCTCTCTCTCTCTCTCTGTCTCTGTCTCTCTGTTTCTCTTTAGCTTTAACTTGAGTAGCTCTCAGCTGCATTCTGCTTCTGTTTAATATGTTGTTCAATTTTATGAATTTTACCTTTATTCTTTATTGTCGACTTCTTGGCTCACAGCATTTGTTAGCTTATTTGCCTTGGTGGTCACGCCCACACACACACACACACACACACACACTTATTGCCTATTACACAAAACTCACTCGCTCGTTCTTTCTGCTGCCATCTCTTTTGCTTGCCTCCGCAAATGTTTGTGTTGCTGCCTATTCTGACGCACACCACACACACTCACACTAATACACACTCTTAATTTGTTAAATTTTCACACTTTACAGCTGTTGTTGTGGCTGGTTCTTTTGCCTCCTTTATAGCCATTGTAGTTGTAGTTGTAGTTGTAGTTGTAGTTGTAGTTGTAGTTGTGGTTGTTGCTGCCTTCACTGTTGACCTTTCCGCAGTCTCCTGCACCGCCTGCTGCTGCTTTGCTGCCCCTTTAAGCCTTAGCCTGCTTTAGCTGCTATTTGCTCTAGGGCCACATTTTGTCTGTTTGCACAACACAGTTTTTACTCTCTTGTTTGTGTTGTTCTTGTTGTTGTTGTTGTTGTTGCTATTGCTGCGGGCCAAGTTGAGCTGTAAAAAAGGCAACGTCTTGTCCTTTTCTATGAACTGCACAATGGCCATAGCAGCAGCAGCAGAAGCAGCAGCAGCGCCGCTAGTTGTGTACAAAATAAATCGACTCGAGTGGTTAACCGCAACAGCAGCAGCAGCAGCATCACAAGGAGCAAAGGGAGCACAGATAGCAAGGAGGAGCTGGGGCTGCAGTAGCATATCCTTTTACTGTAAAATTGCTACTTTGCTGGTGGCTGGTGGCTGCCACGTTGTTATCCTTAATTTGAGTGGCCATTGAGCAGCTGAACTGGCAGGACACAACTCGGGCAGGAACAGTTCGACTCAATGCTGGCGGGCACAATAAGGAGTTGCTACTGCTACTGCTGGTGCTGGTGCTGCTGCCACTGCTCCCAACCGTACCACATAGCATACTTTCTCCTCTTCTTTCGGTTTCTTATTTTAATAAATATTTACTTGAAAGTCATGGCATGCAAGTGCGAGTCCTGTGTGCGACCTGTGTGTCCTCTGTGCTGCGTCAATGTTGTTGTTAGTTCTTCTTCCCGTTTTTTTTTCTTTCTTTTTTTTCTTTTTATTTTTTGTTGTTGCTTCTCAAAGTCAGGCCAAGAGACTTGTGTTTGGGTTTCGGCTCTTCAACTGAGGATCGCTGTCAGCTGGCAGCACTTGTCCCACGCTCGCTGCTGCTGCTGCTGCTGCTGTTGTTGGTGTTGTTGTTGTTGTTGTTTATGTAATGGCCGCAACTATTTTTCACACATTTGCGGGGCAAAAAGGGCAATGTGGCAATGTGGCAGTTGTAAATGGCCAACAGCCTGAGTCTGACTTGTTGTTGCCCATTTCATTGCCTTTGTCGTCGTCGCTGTTGTTGTTGTTGTTGTTGTTGTTGTTGTTGTTGTTGTTGTTGTTACTATTATTGTTGCTACTTCTGCTCATTGTTTGGCCTTAGTCATTGGTCATTTTGTCAGCTAAAGTGTACAGTGTATTTGTCTTAATAGCAAATAATTGCGCACTAATTGGTTTTTTAATTGGGTTGCGTTTAAAATATACCATGTGTTTTAAGTGTTCAACATGATTTGCTAAATGCATGTTTTACATAGCCACAAATCCCAAGTCCAAGATAGTTCAGTTCAGTTTTTCAAGCACTCTTCCTTCCCGATCTGTCTTACTTTGTTTTTCTAAATCACATTTATGTATGTTTGTATTTACTCCCTAACCCTATCTTATTCTATTCCAATTCAAGTTATTTTTAACTATGTATAGCTTATACATAAATATATATTCTATGATAATCGACAGTGTTAATAGTAATATCATTACATTACTTATTATACATGTTGGGCCGTTTGAATACAATCTTTAATATCCTCAATAGATTTGGCCATCGAAATGTTTGCTTTATCCCAGTTATTAAATCAATTCCCTCAATTGCCTTCATTTTTTTTTTTTTTTTTTGTGGTCTTACATCTGCCACGCGTGTTCACATAAAAAAATAGAGAAAAGAACCGCATGAAAATCAATCGCTCCAATTTTGCCAACAAGAAAGAAATAAAAGAAATAAAACACAACAAAAAATATCCTCAAATTCTGAATCAAAATTGGCGATTGGCATCAGGCAGAAGAAGGAGGAGGTAGGCTTTAGATATTTGTGATAGTAGAGCTCGCATTATCGCCCAGACGCACTTCCGAACCGATCAAATAAAGGCCGAAGAAAAGCAAGAGAGAGATATAAATATATACATGCGTAGAGTGAGAGCGAGAGAAAGAGAGGGAGAGTGAGTGCGCATTTCCTGCCAGCTCTCGGACAAAGGTAATTCGATAGTTTTTCGCACATTTTGGTAGACTAATGTGGAAATTGGTGTAGAAAATTGCTATATCAAGTGTTAATTATGTGACAATGAGTCGACCGAAAATGAGAAGCACGAGAAATGAGAAAACGAAATGAAAACGGCTCGAAAATTTGGAGGGTAAGAATTAGGGAGCAGGGGAGGGAGGGAGCGGAGGGATAGCAGCACTTAGCACTATTATTTTCATAATCATTTTTTAATTAGAAAACTACAAGTTCAGTTTTCACGAAAAACCGAACCGAACTGAACCGAACCGAACCAAAGCAAACAACCGAAACGTAAACAAATGAGAAGAGAATTTTCCCCGAAACCGAGCACAGAGCTCGCAAGTGGCTCGACCTCAACTGCTGCATAAACAGCAGTCACAATTGGGCACTGGGATTGGGAATCGGGCACTGGGATTGGGATTGGGTATCGGCGGAGGAGCATTCGTGGCAAGAGTGAAAGAGCCAAAGCCAAATTTGATGACAACAAGTGGCAAGCGTGGAAAGGAGCCACAAGAGCTATAGACTGACTGCGTTTATCGCTGGCGCTGTTCCCAACAATTGTCTACAGCCCCGCACCCCGCAATCCGCAACCCGCATCCAGGTCTTGCCTGCTGCATGATCAGCCAAAGCCAGCCACTTCAGACGGCAGCCAACTGCAGATTCGTCGTCATCATTTTCTAGGAAGCACTCGAGAGCGAGGCCGCAGCAGCGTGTAAACAACTGCCTAAGATTTCCCTTTTCTTTCTCGCTCACTCACTCACCCGATCTGTCTCCCTCTCTCTGCCCCCC